AGTGTATATATATATATATATATATATATATATATATATCCACCTAAAATGCAATATTCTCATCAGTTGTCTATTAGATGTGACCTTTAAATCTGCGTGTTTTAATATTTTATCCAAGGGCATTTTTTTTTTCCTTTATAGAGGGCATTTTCCCACTAATCTCATTTCAAATTCTTACATTTGATCTTTAAATTAAATTATAATAATGTGATTATCTTTACGTTATCAAATAAAACCATTTACACTGAAAAATACAACTGCATTAAATAATAGTATGAGATTCTTTTAAATATTTTTGAATATACAAACAAGAAATGATGGTGGAAATTATACTTTTAAACTAAATTAAAATGCCAGTAGGTGCCAGTAGTGAGCGTTTAATGAATAAGTCACTGAGTCGTTCATTCAAACAATTCGTTCAAACGGCAGATTCATCAAATGTTTATGCGTGGGCTAATAAAACTTTGACTCAACCGATTCGTTCAGAACAAGGAATCAATCAGCAATGAATCGGCTGTTGCTGTGAGATGCGCTGTGGTTCCGCCTAAAATGTAAGTGACCTAATATTATTGTATTTGCTTATTGAACTGTTTATAGAACTATTAAACAGTCGTAATGGTGAAAACGTTGTGTGATGTTGCCTAACTAACTGCATTTTAAATATAAAAACTTTCCATTTTGAATCTTTACCTCAGGATGCTGAGTTTCTTAGTGTTGCGCGTTTTGATTTCTCCTGGAGAGGCTGCGTGAGCCTCGCCTCAGCAATAGGTGCATAATATACAGTAGCTATATCCACTATTCTCCACTTACTCTAAATGTAATAAAATCAGAATAATACTTGCGTTTTGGTGTTTACATAGTTATTTTTGGTTACTGATGTTTTAAATGAAGCGTTAATGTCGAGCCCTGGAGTCTATGTGCTGGGGCTCAGCCCCGGATGGTCCCGACCCAATTTAAACCCTGCCTATAAAACCACAGCAGAACTGTTGTACATATTCAAGCACCACACAGCAATGATTCATTACTGAATGAATCCATGTTTTGAACGAATCGGGTGAGCCAATGATTCAATGTCCCATTCATAAAGAGAGCCATTTACTTCATTCCTGAATCAATCAGCAGTTTGAAGGAATTGAATGAATGAATGACTCAATGACTTACTCATAAAGACATTTACTGCCACCTACTGGCAGTATTAGTTTCTCATTTAGAGTATCATTTCATTAAAAAATAAATAAAATAAAATAAAGTGATAGTTCACCCAAAAAGAAAAATTCTGTCATCATTTACTCACTCTCATGTCGTTTCAAACCTGTATCATTTACTTTCTTTTACGGAAAATAATCAAGAATGTTGGTAACCAGAAGTAAAACAAGACTGTTTAGTAACCAAGCTGATTTGGTTACCGATGACCTTCACTGTAGGAACAAAAATACTGAATTTTTTCCCAAATTCTCTTCTTTTATGTTCCACAGTTTATGTTAGGCCGTTGTAGCCTAAAGGTTTATATGTAATACAAATACATGTTATGTTGAATCAAATAAAATATTTCTTTCTAAACCTACGTTTTATAATATCTATACTTGATATTTTCTCTTATAACACAAGAATTACTTTAAATTATCTTTTGGGGGTATTTTTGCAGCCACATTTAATTTGCAATTAATTCGATTAATTAATCACCACATTATGTAATTAATTACATTAAACATTGTAAACACCAAATTGTAAAGAAGTGTATAGACGACTGAGGTAGTATCAATGAATGAAAGGTTAATGGTGGATGAATGTCACCACTTAAAAAATGTAATTTAATCCATGCTTAAAAAAGTAGTTAAATGTTAACAATAACTAACTGATAAATAGTTATTAAACACAGTTTACACATAAGTGCAAGCAAAAAACTTTGACAATATAATCATAATGCTAAATGATGTAACGTGCATGAGGACATTAGTTTGGCGTTGAAACTCACCCTCTGGGTCCAGCAGTCGGGCCACACCAAGCTGCTCGGCCACACCAAAAGCTTGTTCTAAGTTGGATCTGCTACTTTGTGTCGATACTTTGCTCATATCAACCAGGTCGGGCCTGAATTAAGACAGAACCGTGACAATATGATCTCACTCCACAATCTCTGCGCGTCTGATATCTTTCAGTGACAGATATGTTTTGTATGACACACCAAGGTCATGCTTTAATCAAAAAGTGTTTCAATTAATGGAGACAGACATTTTCATTTATGTAAACTGACTCAATGTTCCGACAGTGTCAAAGAGAAAGTACGCACTAAATCAAGGGACATCATTTACATAAAAAGCATTTAAGGAACAATTACACTTTGCCTAGAGAAAATTAAGCCCATTTTAGGACCGTTAAGCATCTTAACTGCCACAAAAATAGGCTTCATTTTTCTTTCTTTTGATTTTGAGGGGAAATATGATGCAGGCATGTTCTTGACAGGGTTCGTGAGATTCACTCATGAGGATCATCAACCCATTACTAAACCCCTGACTGACAGGAATAGTCACGGCAAAAACTCTCTTTGCACAAAGAAGTAATGGTAATCTGAGAACTGTGTCTGTGCGTGTGTTAGGTAAAATGACATTTCATCAAACTATAAAGAGCAGGTTATGACTATGAGGCACAACAGATCATTCTAAGAACAGACATGAGAAGTAAAGATATAGGTGTATATACATTAAAGCTCTGTCCATCTGTAACCCATGTCACTTCCATGATGTAACATTTTATTTCAGAGTGAAACAGGATATTCAGTAAGAAATTTGAAAAAGACTTAGTTTTCTCCATCTGTAAGGGCCTGTTTACGCCTGGTCACTTAATGTGTTTTTAGTGATCTGATTTGTTCAAATGGTTCCATTTACATTTGGCCACATAAATGTGTCTCTGCAAAATGGATACAAATCCGATCTTCAATTCCCGCGCTATATGCAAATTTAACGGAGTACACATCAACGAAAGCAACAGATATGCGCTGCATTTTATTCATTATCGGCCAATTTCAAAACCAAAGACCACAATAGGAGAGAGCGTGGCATCAGCACTCGTAAAATAATTTAGTCTCACTACTTTTAATGAAGATGACTTTGTGTTGAGCGTCTGCGACTCACTTTCATTTTCATTTGCGGAGTTTGCGCGTTGGCTTGCTGAAGATATACTCAGCTACTCATCTGCGGCGATGCGTGTTGCATTAGCGCTGTCATATCTGACTGTAACATGTCATATAGCCTATAACACGCTCTCACATGTTTATTTTTTAACATTTTTTAACACTTATGTGGTTTCAACAACCAGATGCATTTACACTTGTCCAGTTTCGTCGTTTGAGTGATCGGTTCTAAATGCATCTCGAAAGCACTTCGGAGGACATTTACACAAGGTCTTTTCACGATCGGATACCTATTAAATGCATTAAGTGACCAGGTGTAAACAGGCCCTAATCGACTGGTTTGTGAAAAGTGCCTATTTACACTTGTCACTTCATGTGTTTTCTCAAATCAGATATACAGTTATAGCAATAACACTCACTCACACCTTATTTCTTTAACATTTTGTAAACAGTAAAACCACATGCATTTACACTTGTCCAGTTCTGTCTGGAATCTCCTGAAGTGGTTTGAGATGCACCAGATTGCAATCTGTCTCGAATGCATTTCAGAGGGCATTTATACCTGTCTTTTTGTGATCTGATAGTTATCCGATTAGAGAAAATGCATGAAGTGGCCCTACATGAAGTGTAAGTAGGCCCTATATGACAGGTGATTAGAGGGGAGGGCTAGGTGACAACACCTAAAATAAAGTTTTCAGAGGCACAGCAAATTATTACATTTTCTATGAAAGATTTGTATTTCTTTGGAATGATGTGAACTGATGAACCATAAACATTAAGACAAGGAATGTGGTCAATTCTGATATAATGTTGTCTTTACTGCCTGTGAAGACAGCAGGCAGCAAGACAACTCACTAAGTTTTAAAACAGAGCCTCAGTGTTTAGACACACAGTAATCCAAATGAGAGGGCTTTACATAGTTTACCCCCAAAAAAAAAAAAAAACCCTGAAAATTCAGTCATTATTTACATGCCCTTTAACACATGAAACCAGAAACAAACAGCCATGTATATCTGGACATGGATGGATATTTTTTGGGAAATGGACATTGCTGTGCTGTTACCTGTACTTATGAATAATAGCATTGAACAGTCGTCCATCCCTCCACGAGGTAGTGAAGTTGTCACAGCGGACGCCTACATAGCCTTCGGTCATCTGCTTGGACCACAGCAGAAGTCTCTCCTTGGCTGTCATGTCCTCGGACTCTCCTGTCACGTGGATGTCCGAGATCTGCAGACAGGAAAGATGACATGTTTTTGTTAAGAACCCCTGTTATGACATAGATACGGATCCGGACCTAGTCATACTCAGCAAATATGTAAAGAAATGGTCATTTCGTAACACAATTTTTAAATTGATATAAAAAGAACTGCTATGTAGCACAGTTGCATCTTTTCTTGAAATCAATGTACAGTTCAGATGAAGTCATCTAATTGTTTTTGCCATAATGTAAATTCAAATCTGTTCTGTAAATATTCTAGCAAAAGCTTCAAGAGTTTAGAATTAAGAATGAATAAAATACATTTCTGTCATGACAACTCTTGGAGGGACTGGCATGGTAATGTACATGACAATGTTAATGTATTTGGTCTTGGTGGAATAGATCTGCTACGCTGCTGCTGCGGCAGAGCAAGTACCGAGACTTGCTACTGCCAATACATTCACAACATGCTGCTGTGAGCATGTAAGAAATATTGCTACTGCAAATATAACATACATGAAATAACCCCCATATAGCATACATGAATCACCTCGTAGCAGATCTATACAGGTGGAGCTGGGGAAGGTGGAGGGTTTCTGAAGCAAGCTGCAACTGCTACAGCAAGCACTAGTCATATATTTGAATGTTGAGCAGCGAGCTCATTGGCTACCGATACAAGAGAGAACCAATCAGATGTGCCATGTGATAATGATGTCATTAGGTCAGATTGAGTTAGACCTATCGGACTGCGCCATCTAGAGTTTCATGCTAGAACTCTGTATACATCATGTGCACACAGAAAACGCATTAACTGTTTATGTTAATCATCTCACCTCTATGAAAATACATCATTTAAAAAGAGATTGGCACAGCAGTAATATAAAGACTGTCTGCACCCCAGTGTAGGCAGCAGATATATACTATTTGCATCCTGTGTAGAAACAAATGCTGTCTATATTATAATAGCATTGTATATAAATACTATTGTATTTATCATACTGCACATTTTGGATGTGTCACTCTGACTGCAGGTCAAACAGACAAATTAGGTGCATGTACACCTGGGTGCAAATAGCCACTCCATAATAAAAATGGGATCACTTGTGAGCAAGCAGAAAAGTGCGCAAAAGTGCACTACATTATGCAATGCATTTCCCCACACACAGATACTGTTAAATTACAGCCAAGGGAATCAGTGTCTGACTTATTAATCTAAAATTAGCAAATATCTGTAATTTGGCCTTTTTCGAATATCTGTTTTCTGCTGTTTCAGCAATGAAGCTCAGCTGGTACACGTAGAAAGGCTGATTCATGTTAACATTTGATCAGTGATTTACCAGCACAGGTTGGTTGCTCTGTTTCTTCATTTAGAGCTATTTATAGTAGCCTCCACGTAAGCAATAAATCATATTAAATGTATTTTTATTATAGCAGTGAACATAATAAACAGTGACCACTAGCACAGACGTGTCCACTGACCACTAGAGATCTCACATGACTTATCACTCCTAAGAAGGATGTGCAGCTCTAAAATCAAATGCCTGGAGCAAAGCTAAGCCAACACCTAATGATTTAATAGCTCAGTCTTTCCACACCCACAGTCTATGTGCTCTGCTGCCTTCTGACAAGCTATAATTACACTGGCCGGCAGATTCTTTTGAGTTGACTTGAATGTCAGCACATTCATGTACTGTACACTTAGCAAGATGTGAATGATTATTAAGCTGTTGGTTTTAATATGTTGTGGTATAATGTGTTTTCTTAATCTGAGAACCGAACACACCAAAACATGTCAGCTCTGACTAACCACTGCCATGACTCTCAAGATGAACGACAACATTACAGAAACTCTGCATCATTCATTATAAAATGCCTAGTTTCTAGAATCTAGATGCTGATGGGTCAATATAGCTAAAATAAAGAATATAGTCACTGCTATGACACAAAGTATCTGTTACTAGTTATATCACAAGGCAAAATAGAGGTCAACTATTACCCTTAGTATCTTCTAGTGGAAGGACCCACTAAATTAATTTGCTTGTGTCTCAAACAGTAGAGAGCATGGCACTAATAGTGTCACGGTCCCTGATTCCCAAGGAATGCAAGAACTGATCAAATGAATGCAGTCGCTTGAGATAAAAGAGTCTGTAGTTGTCCTAAATATTTCTGCTATGTAGTACCTATTTCAGGCAATCAAGGCTGTTGTATAGGTGTATTCATGTCAAGCCGGAATGACCGTAAATATGAGATTCCTTGAAAAGGCATTCTGTAGAACTCAAAATAACAACTTGTAAACTCTGACTTTTCTGAGAGCCCTGACTTGCACAGCCTGACCACTACAAAGTCTCGGGTTGTCATCTAGTAATTATGGCAATTACAACATGGAGTAAACGCAGCATGTCTCATGAGTAAAGGGTGTATGATGTGCAGCGGACGTTATTTCTTAAGTAATAGGGCTGGGACAATAAATCGATGCATCGTGATTCGTGGATCGATTCTGAGATTTTTGGGAATGCATCGTGATCCTCTCTCGAATCGATTCTGAGCTTAGTTTTTAACAGCAGATGGCGCTCTAGGCTAGTTTTTAACCACACACTCGGTCACCCGCACAAATGCTCACGAAGAAGAGCACTTGCGCGTTCGGCTGAGTAATGTAAGTGGTTAAATGTACTTGCACATTGGCTTTTATGCTTTTATGATGCAAGATTAATGTAAACACAGCCCACTGTGAACATCCTTGTAATTCGCTTCAACCTTTTCGAACTTTATGAATGATTATTTTAGGTTCAAATGGTCCGTGTGTAAGGAACTGGAAGCAAGCAGAATACAGCTATTTCTAAAGGACGCAGTGCCATCTGCTGTTAAAAACTAAGCTCAGAATCGATTCAAGAGACAATCGCGATGCCTTCGGAAAATCTCAGTATCGATGCAGAATCATTTCTCGATTCACGATGCATCGATTTATTGTCCCAGCCCTATTAAGTAATGATACACAAATTGTATTGTTGCACCATAAATGGCATCTCATATGCCGACAGATGCTGATATTACCTCCTGCTGTTCAGTAGAAGCATGTTTAAGATCTTGTTGGACAGTATCCAACGTAGCCTGGGAAACTAAACCTCCCGAGCAAGTGTGGGCCCTCCTCCGCTTCCTGTGCACTTGAGTGTCCCATATAATTTTGGAGAACTCCTCCATGTTTTCCAACTGATGATCCACACTGCTCCTTGAAAAGCCTTTTCCTCTCAGTGTCTGGAGCATATGTTCCACCACTCCAAAACTCGCCGCCCTCCTCAACTGCCTCCACAAGAGTTTCTTTTCCAAAAGGCCATCCTTTGAGGCGATGCTTCTGGAGCTCTTGGTGACCCCACGTAGATTATGCTCTGCAGTGGGCCTGCTTTTGTCCTTATCCATCTGATGAACACCTGGTCTTCTACCGCTTTTACCTCGGGGAACTGGGACTTCTCCAACATAGACCCCATGGCTGATACTGGGCTCCCTGGGCCTTGGAACCTCGTCTTGCTTCGAGTTCAATGCATCAACCCGATTGAGGGAATTCCTACCAGATGTGACATCCTCCAGGTCATCACTCCTACAGCTCTCAGCCCCATGGCTTCTCAATGAGTCAGTAGCACTGAACTCTGCGGATTTCCTCTTCTTCCTCCTTTGAAAGTATCGGCGTCCACTGAGCTCCTTTTGTGCAGGGCTGATTGGGGCTTTCGTGGGATCAACATAACACTCCTCCTTAGAGCCCCTCACACATCCACACATATTACCCATGGCGCTTGGTCATACTAACAAGGCTGCCCATCAAGAAAGTTTCACTTTTTCCTGCCAGCTGTAAACAAGTTCAGCAAGTTCAAGAGTTTCTTATCCCAGGAAATAACAGCCATCTTTTCCCCGGCAAGTGTTTCAGTTAGAGGTGATGTCAGACAAATCAGCCGTAGTCCAAATATCCAGAGTGGAGCGGATGATGTGAACGCCTCTTGAGACTCGGCAGAGGACCGAGACACTCCAAACAAACTTCAGTTTCCTGTATTGCACGTTCGCCAGCCTCGCTCCACAGCCCAGCCCTTTCTTCTCACGCTGCCAACACACTGAAATCTCAGTGACCTTTGAAACCTCACCCTTTGCCCTGATCCTCCAGAACAAACACTATAGAGATAGAGGCACCTGGTAAGCAACAGAAACTAACACTGCTGTCACAGCTGAGGAAACGTCACAGTCCTCATGTGATGTGTAAACACAGCCACCCTCGGATCCCTGCTGGTGTTGAGTTTCCACAGGCTGACTCCAGCTCCTCAGCAGTTGGAGGCTGGAGAGAGAGAGAGAAAAGGGAGGGGAGCGGGACAGACTCTCATCTGTTCCCTGATGGCTTCTGTGTGCCGCGTGTGAATGCTCTGCTCAGCGAGTTGAGCCATTCGGATAGGACGTCCCAGGCGGAGAGAGAGTCATGGCCTGTCATGTGGCCTTTAAAAATAACAGGGCAACGTGGCTGACTCTACAACATGACAAAGTGTGCTGCCCCAGACGACAAAGCTCTCTGTTTGCTCTTTAATCTGGCTCGAAACAAGAGCAAAGCTTTCAAAAGGATCACGTCCAGCACGTAAAACAAACATAACCTGTGGTCATAGAAATGGAAGATAATAACTTATATTGGCTATATAAACTCATTTGGAGGCATAGTTGTAAAATATAATTAGCTTATACAGCAAGTTATTGATCAAACATTCATTTAAAGTTAATTAGTAGTGTTTGCTAAGGCAAGAATGACTAATTAGGCTAACTTGTTTCAGGGATCCCAACAAGGGGCCAGACTTACTAACAGCTTGTTCCAGCGCAAACCCTCTTTAGGCATTAAAAATCTACTGTCAGGATTTACTGAAGACAAAACATTAGCAATGAAAAGGTGTGGACATAGTTATTTCTGCGGTTGACCTTATTGCATATGCATTTGTAGGAGTTTCACTTTCAGACACAACATTTACGTGAGGAGAGTATTTAAAGGAATCATGCAAGGTGATTTATTAAGGTTTGTGGCAGTCAATTTACTGGTATTTGCACCATTATTTACTGCCCCCAAAAAATGTCTTAATTCATTTTGCGGCTGTGTTGTTAGTAGCTTATCCGCACACACATTATCATCAGCTCTGCTCGTTTGCGACCATACGCTAATTTGCACTGCTCTCTGTAGATCATGTTGGTCATTATAGAAATGATCTGACTGCATCTGTGTTCTTTAATGTGCACACTGTCAGTAGAGCAACTGCAGAACTTCCCACTTCCATCTGCGCTTTTATGGGATTGCGCTCTCACGCTAATTTGCCCTGTTTAGTAAATCTGGCCCAAGATTTGCTAATCCTTTTGCCACATCTCACCACTATAATATCACAGCGACCTGTGTATGGATCCCTTAGAAACGCATTCGTTCGGTGCGCCCAGACCCACTGACAGTCTTTTCAGTTTGTTTGTTTTGACAGTGGGTGATTCCCCAGAAGGGCTGCTTTTTAGAAATGTCCATGTTAAATGGCAGCTAGCTGACTAGTTCAAATTATATGCAGCAGCACTCTTTATTTGTATTCCCATGCTACTCTACAACATACGATATGCTAGCCAGGCCTTCTTCTGTGCAGACCTGATGTAAACATGAACAAATGAATGACTTTGCCTGGAATTTCCCGCCAAATCTGACCCGACAATTCCAAATTTAAATCAATATTTCAGGCTTACTGTACTGAATCAGAACAAGGCAGCTTTGAACACGTTTTTACTAGTTCAGTAATGCAATCTTGATCAGTTTGGAGCAAAAACTATTTTGTAGTGCCGCTTTAAAAACAGTAAAGATAAAACATCACATTGTTGCACATTATTGCTGGAGGTGATGCGGATACACCCTCAACACACCCTTCATTCATGAACTTCAAAGCTTGCTTGTAAGGCAAAAAAAATTAGCCATAATGGCTAATGCCAGCTTGATTCAGAGTCAAATGTCTTTGTTTGCATGTTCAAACAGACAGTATTCAGTTTGCAGCTGTGGATATTGTATTAATGAATAAATACGTTCTCTAAAATCTTTAATTACATTAGTCATTGCCTGAAGAGCTGCAAACAATAAATGTAAATGCACAGCGAATTGCAATACTTCATTTGTTGGAAACTGGATACTTCCAATGAAGAGACCGGAGGTTCAGAAACACGGTTCAGAAATCATCCCTGAGGAGACTAATGTCTAGGCAGAGCCATCAAAAACAACTCTATGTATCCTCTAACTGCGGATCATGAGGGAACAGGCCCACAGCCACTAGCGCCGCATGCCCAACGGCTCGCGTGAGAGTGACAGCGGCAGGTGCTCGTGCACGTCCCCACGCTACCTGTCAGCAAGTTTCATGAAGCCAAGCATTATTTAACACATTCTTCAGCTATGCCCCAGATATCAATTTTTAGAGTTGTTTTGTAAGCCTTCAGCCCATTGTGGGCCATCAGGGAAGCCGGGTCAGCGTGGTTCGCGAGATCGAGGTGCGGTGAAGTTGTCGGAGCCTGTCGTTCCTGCATTCCTGCTCTCTGTCTGCTGGAGGAGTGAATCAAGAAGAACGGTGATGCTTTGACTTCTGGTCGAGGCCCGGGTTGACTACTGCTACAGGCTACTGCTAAAATTTTTCAATCATAACATGACCTCAAACCAAACATGAAGCCGAGGCTAGGATATTAATAGCCTACTGCAGTGAAGGTAGGACAGCGTGTCCGAAATCATGGGAATATTTGAACACATTCGTGTTTGCAACAGAAGGAAACCAAACAGAGAGGCACTGCACACATTTTTTTTATTTAAGTGAAGAAAATGTGACATTAAAAAGCTGTGCGATATAATAGGCAAAGACCTCCTTCTGATGCACGTGTGTACACTGCAACAATTAAAAAGCAGTGCAGATGGAAAGCAGGAAATCGTCCTGTGTGAACGGCCCCTCTCCACCTCAGTCTTATGAACTGTACATTTGTTGCAGGGAAGGTTTCACAGGCTCAGACCTGCAAATGCGCAGCTGCAGCAGAACCTCTGTGACCTCTGCGTGAGGCAGCTAAAGCACAAATTCTGCAGAAATACTGCAGGACTACTGCGAGACAGTTTTTTAAAAGCCTGTCACAGACATAAAATGCAAAAAAAAATTCTCTGCAATTTTCATCTTTAGCTCAGGATGACTTGTCTAGCATCAGCACTTTTTTTAGAATATTAAGCAATAAAAGCCCTTTCATTGTGAAAAGCATCGTTTTTTCCATTATTAGGAAGCATATAGAATCTGAATAATTGAGTAAAACATACAAGACAGATCTTGTGTATGTAATGACACAAATATTTCCCATGTTCAGCTACTACATGTTGATGCTAAAATAATGATCCTAATAAATCAATCTCACAATGCAGTTACTGAGGAAAATCACATTGGCCTAATTAAAGATTCTGGCACATCACAGCATTTCATTAAAACAGGGAAATGTTCCTGCATGAAGATATTACAGAAAATGAATAAACGCCAAAGCGGGCCTGAGTATTTGAGTGAACACGCTCTGCAGACTGACAGATAGAACTCACTGCACTCCACCTACAACTAAACAATCATTATACTAGAACAGAAATATGAAGACAAACTTTGAATGCCTTGCCTGAAAGATGAAAAAAAGCCTTGAAACCTGAGGTTTATTTATGGACTTTTATATTTATAATTTGAACACTATGTGATTGCCGGGGTGTTGAGAACTTCCTGCACCATGGTTTTGATGGGCGACGGCTAAGGTGTTCTGGCTCATTTCTACCGCATTATTAGCAGTAAATAAATACTGTGTGGTCTCATAAGCTCTTTTCAATAAATATCTGCTCACCCTTGAGGTAATGTGAGCTTGCACATACACGTCTGACCTCTTGTGGTCAGAGAATGAACTGCAATATTTCACATTGTGAGGAATAAAAAAACCTACATCCAGCATCAAAAGCCAATAAATAAACAATACAAAGACAAATACAAATTGTTAAAAAATTCGGAGACTTGACTGGCTAACCTGAAAGTGCAGAATTATGGTCCATATTAATCCCAATGTCAGTTTTGGGTTTCCGTCCGTTATGTCATCATTCCTGATGTTCACCAGCTTCACCTGAGAACACAAGCGTTATACAGTTTTGATGAGTGATATGATGACACAATCATGCAGCACTCTGCAATCATTCCATAAAGACACATGACTGCATATATAATGGCATTTCCATATAATGCTAATTTCCATTAATTGTGCGATCTGATGAGAATGAACTTCATCCACTGTCTGTCTCACCCTTTTACAGGATTGATGACTCATAGACAGATGATTCCCTGCACATCCATCAATCAGTATTGTGTTATCATAATTCCCACGTTAACTAACACAGTTGAAACATTAAGTTAATAAATATACGATTACGATTGTAAATGGTTTATGTGTGTTACATGCATTTGGGGTATTTTTAAAAGAATAAATTAGAAATGCTTAACCGGTGCAGTGTTTAGTTTCTATAAAAAGCTACACAAAGCTGTATTTATGCTACATAAAGCTGTTTTTTTCTGCAAAGCTGCTTTGAAAAAATATGTTGCGAGACAATATTGTAAAAAGCGCTACACAAATAAACTAGATTTGAACCAAAATACTTTATATAAAAATGAATGATGGCAAAAAGTCTTTTATAATGCTGCAATTAGAAACGCATTTGTTTTCAAAAACGAATCCATGCAGCAATTCTAGACTATACACATAATTCTAAGAGCAATAAAGCTGTGCTGCTTATAGCAGTGATTTAAAGTTGTCAGTGTCTCACCACAAGAGGGCACTAGAGGACCGGAGGTTAATTTAGGGCAGTGATGGGCAAACTTGGCCCTTCCAGGCCACTTTCCTACAGAGATGTGATCCAACCCTGATAAAACTCACCTGCCTGTAGCTTTCTAGTAGTCTTGAAGACAATGATTAGCTGGTTCAGGTGTGTTTGATTAGAGTTGGAGCTAAACTCTGAAGGAAAATGACCTGGAAGGGCCAAGTTTGCCCACCCCTGATTTAGGGTATTGAGTAGAGTAAAAGTGTGCAATGCATCATGTTCTTTGGATGGAAGCATGGCAGTGGGTTTGCATTTAGTCACGTACTTCATTCCACCATGCATTTTTGTCTTGCTCTTATTTATTTGATTCAGATAATTGATCAACAAAACATGATCAACCACCCCCTTTATAACGTTTACAAATTAAACCATTTTCTTTCATAATTAACAGATTAAATTGAAGAAAAACATAGACAAATAATATAATAACATTTAACATAAATAAAACAAAAATCAATTTTCTTAAATGGCCTCAACACAAAAATACAGGCACTGGAATAACACAATATTAGTGTATGTCAATCCCTCAGGAATCCTGTGTCTATCTCTGATATCACAGCAGAGCACAAGGTGAGTGGAATTCATAATCATTTCGTTAAAGGAGAAATGAGATTTGAACTGATGAATAACAGTCCAATCAATCTCTATGGGAACTAGTCTGTATTGTTTTGAATTGCAAATGCATTATATTATTAAAATGTTCTGTATTCTGTATTTCTGGAATGCGTACTTTTTTCTTGCACTTCTTTTCTTCACAAGGGTTGATTTGGAAATCACACAGAACAGAACCTGATTTAATGTCAAATTTTGAATGTACAGGTTTTGATGCTCCAATTCCGGTTTAACATGCAGAGATGAACTGTAAGTAAGTAATGCATTTATAGGTTGAATTCCTAAAGACTATCAATACATTGACTCACATTGCTGTGTATTTGGAGCAGCCCGACAAAGTCACACTGACTCAACCAATGGGCTGAGTTTCTGGGCAGGACTATCTGTTTGACCAATGGACCAGTCATTTTTTGTAATGCTATTTGGAGCCACTAGTGGAGCAGAACTTATATCAATTTAAATGAACAGTGTTAAACATATTTCATCATAAACGCATGATGAACTGCATTAAAAATAAAATCACTTTATCTTATTGTTGATTATTTTTCTCACTGGTCTCACCTGCCGTCGTTTTAAGAAGTCCAGTGCGATCTGTACATTCTGTAGTCTGTGGAAGCGCATGCGGCCCTTCTCTCGCGGCTGTGAGGACAGGAGAGAGAGAGAGAGAAGACATCAGTGCATGCGTCATCAGACATGGCCGAGCTCTCGGCACCAGACACTCACCGTACCGTCTCGCCTGCGGGAGAGAAACTCATGAAGCTGCGCTCATGTCTGGACATCTGAACTACTGCACATCAATGCCTAGCTAGCCTGACTAAAATATGCGAGGTATCTTGCTAACTTCATACAGGTTAACGCTACATCATGTGATGCCTTGAAGGAACACAAGCCAAATGCAAGGTCAGAGATGCGGAGTGAGCCGAGACTGGAGCGGGAAGCAGTGAAACGGGAATAAAGCAGATGGAGAGAAAGGGAAAATCTCCATTGTCCATCTGCTCAGATGGAGTTTTCTCAAAGGTGCTCATCAAACTTACAGTTACAGTGACGTACAGCACAGTGTAGGGACACTTAAAGAGAAATGAGAATTGAGCAAATGATGGATGACTTATGGAGAGTCAAACCGTTTGTGTCGCCCTTTAGTGCAATGGCACAGTGAGACTGGAAGTAAAGGACTGACGTGAGTTCAATGTGTTTTGTTCACAGAATAGTAAAAGATGACGAAATGTGCTATCGATCAAAAACAAGAGGTTTCTATCACACGAAATAGCACTTTTCATTAAACACAAGTATGTGTCAATTTGTAAATTTACGATGAGCAATAAAAGGACCCCATGAAATGTTTTGACGGGTACAGATGCCAACTTCAGTACCATAGCAAAAACTAATACTAGGCTAATAAATATAAATAAGAAGTCCTCAAACTGTTATTGAAGACAAGTAAACAGTCAGCAAAAAATTACGACTAAATAAACAAATGACAAGCAATAGAGCGCTGCAGTGATGACAGATTTGTGTAGGCCAACCCAGAAGATGGAATCACCCTGATTCCCTAGACAGAAAACCCAACAGGATTTTTCCACTGGCTTTTGGATAATTGCAAAAATAAGTTTTTTGTTCATCATGATTACCTTCACAAATGAACACAACTAGAATTAACACAAAAAGCTAAACGTAGGTTATATCACATGACGTCAGTGCTAAGCATTCAACCATTAGGCTTCTGACAAGTCTTTCAGTCTTTATTAAAAAAAAAAAAACTTTCACTGAAAGTTTGATTTAGAATAGTTTGCAAGGGCGACAACCTCTGTAGTCCCATTTAGTTACTTGCTAGCAATCACCTTTTTCAAGACAAGTAAAAGCTTTAACAAATCACAAGGGGGTATTACTGACATATTTTATGTCGCAAAAGGAAACATGAAAATATCTTGAGCTTGTGTTAAACACAGACCTTATTTCAGATGGAACCGGAAGTGCTAAAATGCTTGTTTGTGTCCAGGTTTTGGCCTACTAAAACACATCATCCCTGCAGCAATCTATAGGACAGATGAATACAATACAACAAAGACACAAATAAAATCATCAATGCCTTATATTCAAGCGAACTAACAAGTTATGGACAATGAATGGCTCAAGTCATGGCTCCTGCCACTGTGTCTTGGATTTTGCATACAAAACAGCCTCTTTTTTTTTTTATTGGCTTGATGCACTTTAACTTTTTTTAATATCAAGCACATTTGACCACAATCTGGTTAACTTTGTACAAACCGGGTATGAACAGCTTATAAAAATTCAAATAGTTGAACATTCTGTACTGGTTTTTCATTTCAGTTGTATACCGCCCACTTTTTCAATGCATTATTCAAGTATAATTCCCTTTCCTTTCCTCTCTAAGGACTTAAAAATTATTCAATAAACAGTAAAAAAAAAAAAAAGTTAAAATCATGTTGACATGATCATTGCTTAATAACTATATATCAGGCATATATGCACATATCATCACTTAAAACTAAATTTGAATTTGTTTAGTCTAAGAAAAAAAATTACATATGGCACTGAGCCAGAGACGTTGTCATCAATTTTAAGCTAGCGGACTAAAAAATGTACTGAAAGCCACAAAGCTTTGATTTCATGGGGTCTTTATCACACTCTTGAAGTGAAAGGAACTTGAATCAGGACTTTAGTTCACAGCTCAAGCTTCTGTGTCTTGAGAAATAACCAAGCTGGCATTCTAGAGCACTCACAGCAACCCCAGAAGGCAATATTCAGCGATGAGGCAGATGCTATTTACCCATCCCTGTCACTTCAACCTCACTATCTGGTGAATCTGCAAAGATCTGGAAAGCTCCAGATGCCTACAGTCCACTGAGTTCTCTGGGTTTGGCACTCCAGTTAATACACACTGCACACTCCTGTTATGAGGGGGCAGGAGGACACGTGTCCACACCTACCCCCTTATCCTCATCATCCTCATCCTCATCATCATCATCATCGTGGTCACGTCCATGCCGCTCAAGCGCGCATGCGTCAGCCGCACTCACCAACCGTAACGTCTTCAGAAAATCACGCTCCCTTGGCTTACCGGCGGGAACGTGAGCACGAGAGAGAGACACACACACAGACACAGACGGACACGTGAGAGATGGACAGAAGAAGAAAATAAGAAGGACAGGAGACAAGGAGAAGAAACAAGGTGTCACCAAAAGAAAGGGGGCACTTCTCTCTCAGATCGATGCAATCAGCTGCCCAAATGAAGCACTCACATCATGGAGGTGACCGGACATAACAGTGAAAGCTTCTGGAGGAATTCTCAGTCAAATCAACCTCAGTCACTGCAACAGAGCTCCAGAAGTCACTTTGGGGAACAGAATCTTCTAAATGAATAAATGTAACTGTAATGCCAATCATTGATTAAAACAAATCAAATATAGAAAATAAAATATAACAATTTTTTTCCTTTGGATTAATTTCATATGGACATAATGAAAGACTCTGCAATAAATGTGACCATTTGTAAAATGGGAGATTTCTAACCAAAGTGTTTTATTTTTAACAGAAGCTTCCATAATTCGAGTCACTGTTCCGGATGACTTACATTGTGTGCTTTTGTGCTTTCTTTTGAACAGCATGTACACTTCATTACAAGTCTGACAAACAGCTGAATCTTCAAATGAATGTTGATGGTCTCATGAAGGTTTCCTATGAAGTGTACAGTGTAAGTATTGTTCTTGAGTTCCCTGAGTTTATTTCATGACCCTATTAAATTGTTTGACAAACACAATTTTCCTTCCTGTGTTGACTTATTATTAGACAGGAAGTTGGGGATGGACTTACTGAGGTTTTTTTTTTTTTAAACCAATGGTCTTTAGTTGTCATAGCCCAGTAAACCCATGGCTAGAACAGTGTACTGTCACTCTTACTATTTCAGATGATAACTGGATAACCATTCTGAACAAAGTCATGATTTTACGTTTGCTGCATGCTATTGCTAGTCCGTAGCAGGCAGTATTAGGGGAGGCACTTTCTCATTGTAGACAGCACTTTATTGCACAAACAAAAAAATGTGAATATGCCTCTCTGTACTACATGACCCTTTTTGAAAAAGGGTGGTATATTCAGTGTTTTCACATGACGTCACACCCTTACAGGAAAGCCCACATGGAGGGCAAAACAAGGCTTTCCTCCACTGACCGCCAGTTATTTTTACAAGGTTTGTAGTAATGTTTTAAGACAGTGATATTAAAAGGCCAAATTCAGTATAAACTTTATTGATAATGCATACTTTGCACAGGCAAGCAGATGAACCCAGAATATAAAAGCAATGCACAAAGTTTCATATTAAGTGTTTTCCCATAAAAAATCATTATAAAGAAAACACCATTTAGCACATTGATTGAACATAGGCTCATCTGCTTGCCTATATGAAGTATGCATCATCAATAAGATGTATACTGAATTTGATCTTTTTATATCACTGTTTTAATAGATTAAGGCACTTTAAGCATTTTTCACATTAAATGTTTTAGAATGTCCCGCTGTTTTTGGTGATTTAAATATTGCAGCAAGTGCTTTATATGGATTGCAAATGGACAAAACTTGCATTTTGTTCACTTTTTTTTTCTTTTTTCATATTTCCCAGACAAGAAAAACTTACATTTTATATTTGTTTCTCTGATAAAAGTTTGTTGTGTCAGCTTTTGGCCTTAAATATATATATTACATGTAATCACAGTTCTATTAGAATACAGACTTACCAAAATCTGAGTGACTTGTAAAATGTGAGCTGCATACTGTAAGTTGCTGGCATTTGTTTGTTTGCACAGTGTGGGAACTACAGCACCTCTGATACTGAATGAGAATTCCTCCACAGCTCACAGTCAATGCACTGTAACGCAGTACACAACTGGACTATAATTTAAAGATATATTCATAATGCAAAACGCCTATAATAGTGTGCATATGAATAGTTAATTGTACACTAGTGTGTAAATAAGTAAATGCATTTTCACAGATTACACTATTAGCACAGGTGTTTTAGCTGCTGTAAAGCATGAATGTGCAGGTACTGGTTAAGTCACTTTTAGCAAAGCTGATCAGTGTGTGAGTGGCTGCTGGATTAGTAACACACACGCACACAGATGTGGACTGGTGTGGATGGTGAATCTAAGATGCCCCCTTCAGAAACACTGTGATGTTACAGCGAGTGACAGCACACGTTCAAGTATTCTGCTTCAAGACTGCTTAAACGTTGAAAACACTTTTCAGTATGTTTCTGACACAAACAGCTGACAGCTGAAACAGAGCAATACTCACCAGTGTCTCACCGGACAACACCTCCAGAAGGGAGATAAGGTTATGTCCATCTCGCAAATCCTCATACAGGTCGTTCACATGCTTTCGTACCTGAAACAAAGTGGAGAGAAAGAAATAGTGAGTTTTTGTCTATTAAAGTTTATTTTTTTTCCTGGATAGACATTTTGTCACCTGAGCAATCAGTTTGTTCTTAAACAACAGTATAATCTATTAAACACACTGTACTTTTATCCATCACAGCCTCATTTCATTTTTGTCAAAAATTTAATACGGTGATACCCTGAAGGTCTACAGCCCCTCTTATTGTAATAATAATAAATTAATAATAATACATTTTATTTATAACACACTTTATGTTTAAACAAAATCTCAAAGTTCTACAAATAAAAAAAAAAGAATAAACTAAAGCTCTGGTAAAAAGGTGGGTTTTAAAGCCACATTTAAAATCCTCCACAGTCTGTGAAGTCCTCAGATGGTTCGGGAGAGCATTCCACAGTCTGAGAGCGGCTGAGCAAAAAGCCCGATCTCCCATGGTACGGAGCTTAGTCCTAGTGGGTTTTAGGAGATATGTTGAAACAGAATGGAGGGGATGTGTAGAGGTTTGTAGAGTAATAAGTTCCTTGAGGTAGTGGGGAGCATCCCCATGAAAGCACTGATAGGTGAGAAGGGAAACCTGGTACTTAATCCTGAGTGAGATGGGAAGCCAGTGGAGTGATTTAAGGATAGGGGTGATATGGTCATACTTGTGCACCCTCATCAGGATCCTAGCAGTGCTCCTCTGAATGTACTGCAGCTTCTGAAGGCTTTTGTCAGGAATCCTGATGAGGAGCGCATTGCAATAGTCCAGCCTAGAGGAGACAAAGGGATGGATCAGCTTTTCCGCATCTGTAAAGGTCAGTGTGGGATGGAGTTTAGCAATGTTCCTGAGATGAAAGAAGGAGGTCGTGCACAGATGTTTGATGTGAGCCTCATAGGTCAAATGAAAGTTGATTTTAACACCCAGGTTGGTAACTGATGTTGAAAATGGAATATCCTGGCCAGAGAAGGTAATGCTGGTAATTACAAATGTCCAAAACTGGTGTGGAGTGCCTACCAGGATGGCTTCAGTCTTGGAGCTGTTTACTTGTAAGACGTTTTGCTTCATCCAACCTTTATCTCCTCCAGGAAGGTGGTCAAAGTGGAGGATGGCAGGGCAGCAGAGGAGGTTGAGTTGATCCTGAGGTAGAGTTGAGTGTCACCAGCATAGCAGTGTAATGAAATTCCATGCCGGCTGATGACACGACTGAGAGGAAGCATACTGAGGATAAACAAGGTGGGGCCCAGCACTGAGCCTTGAGGGACACCACAAGTGACATTGTGTGTCAAGGATTCAGCCTCTCCCATGGCAACATGCTCAGTTCTCCCAGTGAGGTAGGATGAAAACTAGTTGTAGCGTCAGAGAGACTGATGGTGAAGCATAAACGGTGAAGAAGGATGTTGTGGTCCACAGTGCCAAAAGCTGCAGTCAAGTCCAGGTGGATGAGAAAAGATGGGAAACCAGCATCTGCCAACATCAGCAGGTCATTTGTGACCCTGACCAGAGCTGTTTCTGTGCTGTGGCCGGGGCGGAAACCAGACTGGAATTTCTCAAACAGGTTGTTTTGTTTTAAATGGACCTGAAGCCGTGCAGCAACTACTTTTTCCAACACTTTAGAAAGAAATGGAAGGTTGGAGATGGGCCTGTAGTTGGAAAGGACGTCTGGGTCTAAGGTGGGTTTTTTGAGAAGTGTTCTGATGACAGCAGTTTTCAATGTAGATATAATATGGCCAGTCTGGAGGGAGTGGTTGATGACCTTAGGGATCAAGGGACTTATAACACAGAGGTTCGATTTTACCAAAGCTGTAGGAAAGGGGTCCAGAGCACAGGTGGACCGTTTCATCTTTCTAATAATATCCTCAACCTCTCACTGTGAGATGTCAGAGAAACAGCATAGAGGTTGGAAAGTCCCAGACTGTGGGACGACAGTTGGGGCAGGTAAGGCAGAGGAGCTGGATAAGAGGGAGTGAATGGCAACTACTTTTTCACTGAAAAAGTGATAAAGGTGTTGCAACTCACCTCTGTAGCTTCTGAATGAGAAAGAATTTGCGGTTTAAGAGTGTGATTAATAGTAGAAAACAGTTGCTTGGAGTTACCAGGGCAATTATTGACAATATTAGAGTAAAAATGTGATCTTGCATCTCTCAAGGCCCTTGCATAGGCCTTCTGATGCTCTCTGTAGACTTGCCTATGAACAGTGAGTCCTGTGACCTTGAGGCGCCACTGAACGGCACACCCAGCTGTCTTCATCTTCCGCAGTTCACAGGTGTACCAGGGGTTGATCTTTTTCAAGTCCCTAAAGCATATTTGGCACTTTTCTTTGGTGTGGGAAAAGCGAAATAACAGCTCCATTGAGATGGCCTTGAGGTGAGAAACACCCAAATCATACACCAGAAGATTACTAATGGGATCAGAATTTGAGATGACCAAATCCAGTATGTGCCCCCTAGAATGTGTGGGGATATGAACATGTTGTTGGAGGTTAAGACAATCAAGTAGTTGCAGAAACTCAGCTGCAAAATGGTAGGAGGGGGTGTCTTTGTGAATATTGAAATGTCCAAGTATTATAACGTTAGCAGAGGTGGTGCAGATTGTAATAAAAAGGACATGCATCTCTGAGATGTACACTGAGATTAGTTTAGGGAGTCAGTAGATAAGGAGTATTATCATGGGGATGGGGGCAAGGCATTCAAATGAGGACAGAGTAGGCAGAGGGAGGGGAGACAGCTCCAATTGCTGTCGGTATATTACGCTAGGCCACCACCACGACCAGTACTGAGGGCTTTCTCCAGGCAGCTGTAGCCGGGGGGACAGACCTCATTTAACCTCTGGCTGGTGCCCCGTTTCTGTTAAGCACATAAAAGTCTAAACCCTTGTCCATAATGTGATCTTGTATGAAAGATGATTTATTTGTGAGAGATTGTGTATTTTGAGAGATTGTTCTATTTTGAACATGGATGAAGTAGTGAATTTCTGTAGAGGTCGTAGTACACCGGAATCCACTCCACGTTTCCTGTCCAACTTAGTGTGCAGAGATCTCGTGGTGTTTCCCGTATTACTAACACAGAGAGCGACATTGCTCTGATGACGCAGCAGATGTGCAACAGTGGTCCAGATGGAAGGAATGGCTAAAGGAGAATGGCCAGGCTGATGGTAAACAAGCTTTTGACGGGAACTTCTATGGGTGTAACATGGTCGGAGCAGGACTCCAAGTCATTTGATGGCTGCAATGCACTTTGGAATGGTACGGTTGTTAAGATACAGCAGCTGCAGGATACAATACTTGAGCTTCATGCCGGTCACCGAAAGGGTTTACCTGGAGCTAGCCATTAGCCAAACATAGAGATGGAAAACTCTTCAGCACAGCGAGAAGATGGTCCACATGAAAGTAGAGATAGCGGTCCTAGGCTCGAGGCTAAACCGCAACAAGACAGCTGAGTAGCTGCCCAAGTATACCTCACAGTAGCAGTACTGAACGATGGAAAACTCAAGGTGAAATCCAGATGAGAGGATAGCAGTAATTGAGTAAAAAGCCTTCAGTTTAGTAACAATCCATGCAAAAACCTCAAAGAGCAAAAAACTGATTAGACGGAAAAACAATTGAGCAATGGAGAAGCGACGGAGAAGTGGTGGAGAAGCGGTGAACAACAAACGCCAACATCCTCTCCCATTCCACCAGACGCCAAGAACCTGGCATCTTATCAAATACACATTACAATGCAGGAAAATGTATGACAATTCTGTCATATTCTCTTAGCAACTCGAAGGGCATCCTTTAATGGGGAATTATATCCAGCAATCAACAATATCTATAATAGCACAGAGATGTGACACTCCCATCACTGTGGTTTCTATCCTTCAGAAGACAAAGGACCAGATCCACCCATTGTATGACAGTGACTGAGACACCAGCACACCTTGCAAAAGGCCTGTTTAAACACATCTGCCGTTTTGACCAATGCCAAACCAGCTCATATCTGCACTCCAAAAGCACAGATGCTTTGATTAATGTTGTTGAAGTTCTTCAAATTCAGTATCACAACTCCTGTCTCAACAATGACACCATATTGCTCATCATCTTAGTGCTCAGGAAACCATCAGTCATTGCCTCTTGCAAACAAGCACTCAGGAATGATGTCTGATGTTGCGAGAGTATGTTTTTGAGGAATTGTTTCACAATGAATTATCCCCCATGCTGTGTTGAAAGCCATTTTATTCCTCATACACATAGCACTGTAAACATTAACGCTCCCATGAGACGCTGGCCAATGACAGACATCTCATCTGAAGGCCTTTCACCTCTGCAGCTCCAGAAGTGTGAACACTGCTTTTGTCTTGAATACCGCGCCGCTGAAGTCACCGCTCTGCCTTTCTGACCTGCTTTCACACAGGTCCTCTTGTTCATAATCCCACAGCTGCATGACTAAAATAGACGTATAACTCGGCTTCTGGGTCAGTCCAGTCTGTTACACTTGACTATGCATTGCTAGTCAGCACCAAGTTGAAAAAGTGACCTCCACACTGTAATATTTATCTACTAAACGTATAAAAAAAATAGTGTTTAAAGTTAATGTAACAGACTTAGTCAATGCTGTACTGGCATATTATTCATTACAACAAATCAGTTCTATCAAAACAGTTTTTTTTATTAATAATTTCAACTACTCATTTGTGACTGTTTATAATCATATTTTGGTATATTGATAATGCATGAAATAAAACAGACCTGTCTTGACTTGATATATTGGTAAAAATTGATAGCAATCTTATATATACATACATTTTTTTGATTACGTCATTAACTGAATTTTACCGTACATTTCTGCCATATGTACATCAATTCAACAGTCACCCCTGACAAGCTACTACTAAATATATTGTAGAAACTTAACTTTCTGTAAAGCTGCTTTGCAACGATTTGTATTGTGAAAAGCACTATACAAATAAACTTGAATTGTATATATGTCACAAAGCAAGGCCAGACACAACAGGTAAGCCGCAATAACTGTTCGGGCACAGATAGCACTCCTGCTGTGTGACCAAAGACTTCTTTGAAATGGTTAGTGAAGGCATCATAGGAATTAATTATGGCAATTTTAGCGTTCCATATGGCAATATTAGCGTTCCATATGGCCTTAGCCCAAAATAGCGCTCTTCCAGTAAGAAGTGATATCAGGATCAGAACTCAGGTGACTGTGATCGGGTAATTATCCTGGATGGTGACTGAAGTGACTGTGATGAATCCCTGACAATATATATATATATAAAATATCCTCTGAATCCTTTATTCAAGTCATGTAGAACATTCCATTCCAGAGTTAACTATAATAATCCTCCATATCAATTTATCCAACATGTTGTTACTTGCCTTTTTTCTTTATGGTGAAATATTTTGCTACCTTATTCACAGTAATCACAATCAAAAGCATTTATGAAGTCATTTATCTGATTGGAATAAATGTGTCTTAAATAAACAGAAAATCAAGCTGAAGTGATTCTACTGGACACGCTGTTACTTGCCATCTTTGATAAGTGTGTTGCTTAGGAAAACCTGAAAACAAAACATTTGCACAAACTTTAAAAGGTAGTTGGCCCTAATTTTGAAAATTTGAAATTAAAACCTGTTATTCACAACAAAATGAGTTCTGATACTGAGGTCTCTGCTAAAACTGTCCTGGAAATCACTTCATTTCATCCAGGAAACAGTATATTCATGTAATGTTCAGGCACGTCAGCATGTGTGCTTCACGGTTAATAAACTGATAATGTGTTCTATCATTTATTATAAGAGCTTTTTTAAACCAGAGGTGACTGCAAATGCCCTGAAGACACTGGCACACCTGAAGAATTAATGAAGCGTGTGTGGAGTTGCCAGATCCCTCCCAGGCAGAACCACTGCATATGTTAACACCCTCCATTTCTGAGTTCATAGTTTGTATATTTAGATACCTATAATTTAGATCACAGCATATTAGGAAAGGATTCTCTTTCTACCACCAACAAGCGCCTTACTAATGTGCACTGATACACGACCCCATGCAACGCTATGAAAACTACAACAGACCTACCTTTAAGAGGTGCTGATTTATCCATTTTGTAAAGGTCTTTTTCTGGACTCTGTCTCTTTCATCTGAAAAACAAGAGGGATTTATGTTAGAAATGCTTTCAGACTGTTCCAAAATCATTTCTAGCATTGACATTATATCTAGTAAAATTTTTTCTAAAAATAATAATTCCGCCAAAACTGTTCAATGTCCATAGCTTGTTAACTAGAAAAAAAATAACTCTGGAGGAGTATTTTTTATAAATATATGCACCATATTTCCACTACATGCACTACATGTTCATTATATTTTTACTTAAACTGTTGTTTCCATAATTGAATGTATGATTAAAAAAATCTGTCGTTTTTATTATATCTTTTAAAGTTGTATTTAAATGTTCATATTTCAACAACAAATTGGGAGTACAAACATAATTATATCATTCAAATGTTGATATAAAAACTGCCTTATGTGCAATTTACATGTCAGTTATTATTTGAGTGTTAATAGATTATTAAATAAAGTTTATTTTTGGTTTAAATTTTTCGCTAAATGAACACGTTTTGGTGTTTCAGTAAAAAAAATAATAATTTCGGTGCATCACACCATTTTTTTTTCTCCAAGAATTGTGAATGAAGTGATCTGTCGGTATATACATCTGTTCATTGTAAAGAAAATGCATCAAAATGTCTTCTATGTAAACAGCATTAGATTAAAACATGATGTCTGTACCCATTCGGCCTTTAGTTTTAAGGGCTACAACCTTGTTAGATGATGAAAAAAATACTAATGTTGTCTGGCCTGGCGGATTTCATCATGTGGTAATGCCATGTTTCTAATTCTGGACAGGATATGAAAGCTATTTACAGAAAAAGACTGAATCCCAGTCAAGTCTTGCTTCCATTACACAGCGCTCCCAACCACAGTATTTTGTTTCCTGTGTCCATGACAACAGATGTGCCTGCGTCACACACAGCTCAGCCGCGAGACCATTCAGACTTTTAATAAAACAGCAGGATAATGGAAATATAACTAGTATTTCAAACCCCATCAATTAACAGTCATTTTCATATAAAAAACAAAGTATCTTGTGCTTAACATCATGCAGCTGTTTCAAATCAGACACGGTAATCATCATCATCATCATCACTTGACCATTTGTTCGATGTTGCATATAAATATTTAAAAGGTCTTGTAACTGCTCTCTAACTGAGACCCCGCAGTGCAGAAAACCGGCTGAGAAGTGAATCACCATCTGTCAATTCAAAGAGAGGAGCTCAAACTAATCCGAAAACTACATGTTTACTCTCTGAAGAAATGTGTGTGCTGTTTATCTGGGCAAACGTTCAGCTGTCTGTTGCTATGCATCTGCTAGTGTGTTCTGGGTGGTTGCTAACAGACCTAAGTCAAAAGCCTCTATTATATTCTGGTCTCTAGATATGTTTTTCTCCTTCAAATGTAGATGTATGGATTTTTTTTTGCCATATTTTATCATCCCTCTGATGCAAAGTCAGATCACTTACTAAAGGAACAGCACACCTCGCCTCAGCAAGAAACATGAGATATCGCAAAGATTAGCATTAAAGATTGTGCAAAAAATACTGATGTGACACATACCATGTTTAATGAACAGCTATGAAAATTGAGATTTGGTGCCCACTGCCAAATATTTTATTCACCCTCAGGTGCCTAACAAACCGCATGATCTGAGGTATTTAGATGATGCAACACAATAGCATCAATCAGAATTGATGGGCAAAATTAAACTGCTATCCTGTACAATGTTGTACAGTATAAATGCCTTATTCATTCAATCATTCATTAAGAATTGAATGAATGGTTGTTGTTTGCTAATTGCAACAATTCATGTGAGTGACTGCTGGAGGGGAGCGATGATTGTCCCGCTCTCATGACACTGACGGGGAGGGGAAGTTATTTTGATTAAAGATCATATATAACACTGCACTATTCCATGAAAAATAAGAATTGTCTATATTGATTTAATGGTGATTTTAAACTTTATTTTATTTTATTTCAGTGAAATGCCAAGGTGAATTTTTTTAATTTTCCAAGTTAAGTTAAACATTTTCAGCTAATATTTATATTTTATTTTATTTCAGCTTTATTTTAATTAACAAAAACAAAACAAAAACGTTTTTAATAGTTTTCGTTATAGTTAACTAAATAAAAAAAACTGACATTATCTGTACAGTATGAAAAATGGATATTTGTTTCAGTTTTGCTGAAGACTACGTTTTATAGTGTCATTAAATTCTTACTGTTCTTTGAGATACATAATCAAAATCTGGAAAATGAGCAAGCACAATTAAGCAAACATCAGCCATTATATATCCAAAAATCGGTTTATTCCGATATATTAAATGGGTCCTATTATGCTTTTTCACTTTTTCAACTTTAGTTAGTCTGTAATGTTGCTGTTTGAGCATAAAAAAAGATCTGCAAAGTTACAAAGCTCAAAGTCAAAAGGAGATATTTTATTTAACAGAAATCACTTTTCAAAAACTACACCGAACGACTCGTTTGGACTACAACGCATATTTTCCGGGATTTGTGATATCACAAATACCGACGAATGGGACGAGACCTGGTTGAGCTGCACTAGAGAAGGCAACGAGTGTTATCACTATGTTAGAGACCCGCTAGCTTTCCCAAGGCAGATGATCTTAGAGTGGTTACAATCATCCGGGTTTATATCGCGCTCAAATTGATTTGATATTGACGCAATATTTACACTAAAGCTAGCAGGTGGCTATGGTAAGGGGCATGACATTTCCCAACCAGGCGCCGAGTGCTGCCAATCACAACACACACTGGCCCAGCTAACCAATCACAGCACATTTCGTATTTCAGAAGGCCGGCCTTCATTTGATACAGGAACTATTCGAGCCGTTCATGCCAGACTGGGGAGAGAGGTGTTGTAATAATGTAAAATATGTGAGAAATTATGTGTTTTTTGAACAACCTAGTATGAGAGCCTGTTCTAGTACACCCCCAAAACAAAATCAAGACTTTCTAAAAGAGCATAATAGGACCCCTTTAAAAAAAAATCTCTAATATCAGACAACAAACTAATACAGTAGTGTCATGCATCCTTAGAGAACCTTGACATACATGAAAGATACTGCCTGAGTAGTTGTCACATCATGTGTGATGAGGACACATTGTTTGGCATTTTTTTCTAATCTTTAATCCCAACATGAACCACAGCTTGCAACACCTCTGATTACAACAACGCAGAGCATGAATGTGCTGACGTGAGCCCCTGTCACAGCAGTCGACTCAACCTGACAGGAACAGCCAAACATTCAATTCTCTCACTGTACTTTGAACCCTTCAGCACTGACAGAGCTAAACTCTGCCCCTAAGAGCATTACAACACAAGATCTGGGAAGTGGAAAGAAAATGAAGATCAATAGAAAAGCACAGCACACTGCAGCAAAAGCAGGCAATCTGGCAGACGGTGCGATCGCAGGAAGCTGAGGAAAGCTACTGACCCATGCAGCACATGAGCGCCACCAGCAGAGCACCGCGCCGGCCGTCTCCCCTCATCAGGCTGACCGACCCCAGCTCAGGTGCCTTCAGCAGAGCGTCGTGCATGTCTGACAGCCCGCGCGAGTGTGTGTATTTCCCAGAGCGCTGTTGCTGAGGGTGGGACTCGGCTGGCTTCCCCGCAAGCAAGCAGCTACTCCCTTGCGTTTCCCCTCAGTATTCCTTCACAGCTGTCTAGAACGAGTCCCATCAGGTTTTCCAGCAGCACGCCGTGAGTAACAGGCTCCACCGTATGGTAAATGTTTACATAAGGATGCTCGAGTCATCACTGCAGTGAGTTAGTAAGGCTGCTGGCTGAAGCTCTGAGGATATGATTCTGCTGAGCAATATATTCAGTGACACTTTCTACACAGCGCTCCTTTGTGAAGCAGCAATGAACAGGCCCGGTTCTTTAAAGGGATAGTTCACCCAAAAATGAAAATTTGATGTTTATCTGCTTACCCCCAGGGCATCCAAGATGTAGGTGACTTTGTTTCTTCAGTAGAACACAAATGAAGATTTTTCACTCAAACCGTTGCAGTCTGTCAGTCATATAATGGAGGTGAATGGGAATCACGGCTTTGAGAGTCAAAAAAATATACACAAACAAAACCAAATTAAACCCTGCAGCTCGTGACGATACATTGATGTGTAAAGACACGAAACGATCGGTCTGTGCAAGAAACTGAACAGTATTTATATCGTTTTTTTTACCTCTGATTCACCGCAATGTCCGAACTGTCCTGAGCGCGTTCTCAGACGCGTCTTCTTCTTCTTCTTGCTTTACGGCGGATCGCAGACTTATAAGTGCATTACCACCACCTATCTCTCAAATGGACCATTGACACTCCTAATTGAGATTGTTGATAGAGTGTCAATGGTCCATTTGAGAGATAGGTGGTGGTAATGCACTTATAAGTCTGCGTCCCGCCGTAAAGCAAGAAGAAGAAGAAGACGCGTCTGAGAACGCGCTCAGGACAGTTCAGACATTGCATGATGTTTTGTTTATATATGTTTTTTTTTTACTCTCAAAGCCGTGATTCCCATTCACCTCCATTATAAGACTGACAGACTGCAACGGTTTGAGTTCAAAATCTCCGTTTGTGTTCTACTAAAGAAACAAAGTCACCTACATCTAGGATTCCCTGGGGGTAAGCAGATAAACATCAAATTTTCATTTTTGGGTGAACTATCCCTTTAAGGAATTAATGATCGATTCCATTACTTTATACAAGTTGTTCTGTACACAAAGACTTCAGTTATTTATCAAATTCATTCCTAAAAAAATTCAGTGACAGTAGCAGTTTTATATTTCTAATTTGCTAATATATTTCTACTGTAATTATGAAAAAAGCTGTTCTTTTTATACACTGAATTAACATGGTTAATTAAATACATTAAATTAATTAATCACTATTAATTTTGTGATTCCAGTTTTATTTTGTATGTTTTCAACTAAAAACAAATAAATTATTCAAATAAATAAAAAGTAATAGAAATATGAAATACTTACATATCAATAATAATTAATGACATA